CGATCCGTCCATCATCTCCCAAAATATCCAGTAAGGCTGCCATTCCATTTATTTTATTTAATCACACAACTTTTCCATTTTCTTTTAGTCTCTATTTTTTCAAATCAACCATGATCACATAAGCAAACAAACATGCATCAAGGAATGCAATCATATATCAATTTTTCAATCAAATAGTAGTCATGTAAGGCAGCAATTCATGCATTCAAATAATAAAAATGATAAATCAGATACCATTATGTTGTTAAACTGTACAATAAATTAACAAAAATCAACAAAGAATAATTTTCGGTTCGAGCTCCATTAGCAATTCGTAATTAATTATGCACATTTATTTGATTTGCACAAATACCATATTATTATTAATTTAGCATTCAATTCTATGATAAGGAATAGGATGATGGATTCTTACTCGATTTAACACTCGGAAAGCTAAGCTATTTACTGCACCTACTGGGGGTCCTTGGGTTCCCTAAATTTTTTTTTCAGAAATTGAAACACACTAATAGTACCCACAAATATTCCAAATAAACCTAAAATTTTAGAATTCTGGCATGGCGGCTCCGCCGTGCTCCGGTGATGGCGCCACTACCCGCAGCGGCGGTCCGCCTTGGGTCGGTCATTTTTAGCCATTTTCGCCTGAATTCGGCTGATTTTGCATTGATCCCTGCGAAAAAATACGTTAAAGGCCTTGGTTAGCTGAAAAAATATAAAAAATTAAAATTCACCGGCAGTGGGGCTCTTTGGTGCGGTAGCTCCTCCAACTCACGCTGCGGTTGGATGTTTTGCTTCGGTCAACCTGTAGAGTGGAAAAATTATGCGAAATAGGAATCGGGAAGGGCCTCATCGGAGGCGTTTTGTGAAATTTTCCGCAGCGGTACTAGCGGGCTTCGCTGGTATTTTTCAGCCAATTGGCCTGTCTTTTTACTCTGATTTGGCCATGAGTGAGCTTAAAATTGAATTTCGTACAAAAGAGAAAGTTTTTACCTTTTTTGGCGATCGTAAAGGGTTTTGGTGTGGCATCGGTGGCTGCGGTCGGCTTCTCGGTGGTTGGGTTTTCTTCTCCGATGATGAGCTCTGGCGGCTAGGGTTAGAGTTCGGTGCGGATGGAAGTTATTTATATATGTCCGCTTTTGATTTGGGTCATCCATCGCGTTTGATCTGGACCGTTTGATCGCGATTAAACAGGGAGTGAATCTGGATCGTTCATCGTGATTCAATCTGGGCTATCCATCACGATTCACTTTGGACCGTCCGATTGCGTTTGAATCTAGCCGTTCGATCTCTTTGGGGAGGGAGCGCATTCAGGCCGTCCGTGCGCGCAGGAACGGACCTGGACCATTCGATTACAGGCACGCGGATTGTCCGCGTAGCTTCCCGCGTGGCACTGTGTCAGCGCTCGTTGCCACGTGGCATGTCCTGATTCACCGGGCCTGCTGACCGGGCAGCTAATGTGGCAAAATTTTCTAAAATTGTATTTTGGCCCATGTTTTCTGATTTTTCTTTCAAAAATACCCCATGAACCTAAATTTTTACCCTTTTTTTCCAAAATTATTTTCAATTAAATTCTTCATCAATTTTGTTTCAATGTTTTACTCTAAATTAAAATAAAAATAAAAATAAAAATAAAAATTGAAAATTTATTTTATTACATTTAGAATAAAATCTTAAATTACAAAAAGAAACTTTTCGGGTGTTACAATGAAAACAGATAATAAGTACATTAAAACATAATTGAAATATTTTATTTTAGAATAGACAAACTCAGGAATGTGTAGTGAGTAAACCAAACAACCGGAAAAATAATTCAAAGTCTTCAATTAAATATGCACAATATAATAACAAGCAATTTAAGCAGTACAGAAAAATACATAGTGAATAAGGGTAAATATAAACTGACCGATTCCGACTCCACTAGTGACTTATAATTATTTTTAGGATTTTTCTAATTTTTCACAAAATACAACATATTCGATTATTAAGCCTCAATTTACAGTAACAGGGAAGAAGGTGAGGGATTCTTACCTAGATTGGTATTTTGAAACGTTATGCTATCTACTACGCCTCCTAACGGTCCCCAGGTTTTCTGAATTTTTCCTGCAGAAATTAAAATACTCGTCACATACCCAAAAATACTTCAAAAGGCCAAAATCAGTGTTAAAAAATCTTTTTGCCAAATTTTAGGATTCCGGCACGGTGGTATTATGGTGCTCTAGCCCTGGCTCTGCTGCCCACAATGACAGTTCACCTCGGCTTGGCCGGTTTTACATGTATCCATATGAAAAAATACGTTAGGAGGCCTCGGTTGGCCAGAAAAATAAAAAAAACT